GGGCAATATGCTGACTCTGTAAACCGCTTAGAGAGGGCTGAAAGCCCTATGAAGCGGTATATAAGTCTAACTGCTATTGCTAACTGCTATTGTTCAGCAACTGTTCAAACTTACAACAGTGCTGAATGAGTGCTAGTTACAACCAGTTCTCAGAGTTCCAGCCCCTGCAGCATTACCACAGTCATGTAAACAGTCACGATTTATAATGTTCCCTGCTGGCTTCCCATAAGCAAAGTCAATGGGGAAACCAGAGAGAAATTGGAAGTAAACATCCCATGAAGTCCTCATTTAATGACAGACACAATCCCTGCTTAATAAAGGCAACTGAGACTGCTGAAACTGCCATCACGAAGCAATGCAGACACATAACATTGTACTTTAAAGCTGCATTACTTAGCAATGGCAATTCCTATTCCAATTGCTGTCAGAAACCAAAGGCTACTGCTGATACATCTGGTCTGAAGTCTTGAATTTCTTTAAATTAGCTAGTTCTGTCTCTTGCCTGTCCTAAATTGCAGCTTCTTTGTTCTCTCAGTGGCAGAATGACCAACTAGAGCTCTATTTGTGTTCTGAAAAAAGACATGCATAAAATAGGAGTTCAGCAGTTTTGTCTTCTGGTCATCACCCCTTATCAGTTCATACTATTTTCTCACACTGAACCTACATCCTCTCTGACTTTACTTTTACTTTTAAGGTAGTCTTCTTTATTTTTGATATCTCTTGCAAACTCAGCTAACTGTGAACTTTAATATTTCACTTTCATCCCTTTTTGCACAATGAGAAATTGAGTCTGGCTTAAGTTTACTACATTGAACTAAGGGGCTTATCTGTTTATTACAGAATGTTAATTGGTTCTGAATTATTTTGCAAATGAATTCAAGCATACTAGTCTATATGGAAATGCATGTTATATACTAAAATTTGAATTGGAAAGTCCTCATTGATCTTAAATGTTATTGTTTCTGAAGTAAAGGCATTCAAGAGTTTGTTTATTTAAAACATTTACTGTATATAGGTTTTATCTTTCAGCCAACTCTGGGTTGAAAGTAAGAAGATATGCTCTGTACTTTTTACTTAAATAGAGAATTACTTGAAGTTCCAAGACATTTTTACGATATATGAAAAATGCAATGATAGATTATTTAGATGGGAAGTAATGTCCTTTAAAAAAAAAATCATGATATATTTCTTGGACCAAAGGAAATCAAATGTTTATTCTCTATTTTTTTCAGGTCCTGGGGTAGCCCAGAATGGCTGCAGTGTCATATGATCAGTTGTTAAAACAAGTAGAGGTGTTAAAAATGGAGAACTCAAATCTTCGACAAGAACTGGAAGATAATTCAAATCATCTTACAAAACTTGAAACTGAAGCATCTAATATGAAGGTATGGAAATAATTTTACTTTAAAAGCATTTTGGGATTGTGGTTCGGATTGCAAGGCTCTATGATTTTCCCCATAATGCAATGGATATTGAGCTTTGCTCTTTTAGATAATAGATGTTCCCTTTTAAAACACTGTTGTATCAGACCGTGAGAGAGAGAGAGTGTGTGTGTGTGTTCATATTCCCACAACTTTTAATACCCATATAATACAATTTCTTAAAATAATTGGCAATTGTACCATATTAATGGTGAGAGCTGCTTGCTCATGTGCTTTGTATCTTTAGGTTGAGATCAATTCCTTGTAAAATCTATACCTTAGGAAAACATGTTCTAAGGTTTCAATTTCATCAGAGACATCAAGGGCATCTTCTGTGTGTAAAAGTTGTCTGATTATATCTTCAGTGAATTATTGTACTGAGAAAGGCATTGAAGTGTGTTCCAGGGAAGACCCAGAATTATTTGGAATTGAGTAACTTGTGTATAGGTATTGTTCGGGTTGCAGCTTCTATGTTTTAAAATTTAGATCTAATTTCCCTTTGAGGACTATATTTTTAGCATTGTATATCAGTCGCAGCATTCGGCAGCAGTGAAGCAGCCTTAGCGGGCTCCTGAATTCCTCTTTGTAAATTATTCCAGAAATTATTTTAAGCCCCAGTTTGGTAGGACTGTATGAAGCCTCATTGGCTTTTTAAAAAAAAACTTTTCAAACCTTGAAGCTCAAAACTTTAAATTTATCATTTAATAATGAAGGGATTCTAGGGAATAGTGTAGAAGTCGAAGATTAAATTTCTTTGAAATATGACATTTTTGTAAGTACAAGTAATCCCCAACAGTTCACTTTGTGACCTTTTGAAGTTGCGACATAACCCTCCCCCCAAGTACTTACGACACAATCCCGCCTGTGGAGACTCACTTACCTTTTGAGGATCTAGCGAGCCATCTCTTTTCCAGCCTCTCTATTTCTGCTCAGCTTTTCTCACTTACTGAGGCTGCCTTCTACTTCTGGAATGGCAGGCAGCCTCGATGAGTCTCCTCCAAAGGTTTCCAGGCTTGACATGGTAAAGCGTTTGCACGCCGAATGGAAGGCTTTGGGGCAGCAAATTCGGCTTCTGCTGTAAGCTTCTGGGTGTCCTGATCTCATTGGACTTCAGGCACCCATTCTCTGCAAAAGCAGATGGGTGCCAGAAATCGCATGAGATCATGGCCCCCAAAACCTTTCACTCCAGAAGTGGCAGACAGTCTCAGTGAATCAATAAAGCCGAGCACCGCATGCTCATCCTGCTCTCCCTCTGCTCTCACTGCTCGCTGGTAGCAAGCAAAGAAACAGAGAGGCTGGAGAGGAGACAGCTCACTATATACTCGAAAGGTAAGTGAGTCTCCACAGGCCTCTTGTGAAAATCTGGTGTGGTAGAATGTGGGAGAGGAAGCAATTGCCTGAGGTATCTGTGGGTCAGCAGAGGCCTTGGGTAGTCTGAAGCAGGTAGCCTGTTCCATCATTTTATATACTTATGGTTTGCTCTGTCAATATTGGTGGAGCGATCTTGGCAATTACTTGGATTGCTGTTTATTGTTAGCTGAACAATAATAGTCCAAGAAACCACCAAGGCCACTTCCACCAATACTGACAGGGCAAACTACTAGTATATAAAATGAAAGCAAATCCCACTTCCTGCTAGCACTGATGATGTTACCTAGTTTGCTAATAAAACACCTGCAAGAAAACAGCCAAGCTCAGAGAGCACCAAGAGCCTTAATTTTTATGAAGGCATGCCTGCTTTTTCTGCTGGTTTTTAAAATCATATTCCTGGAACAGTAAGTTATGGATAGTCTTGCCAAACGCTAGGGTAAATTAAATGCAACTACTTAGCATGGAGTGTTTTTTTATTCATGCAATACTATGTATAAAAGTGTATTTATGCCCTACTTAAATATGCATAAACAGATTAGAAAACTTTGAAGTGAGCGGAATGAATGTATTGCCTATTATATAGAACAATACCCCCAGACACATGCAATAATTTGAAGCAACTTTAACATCACCTGGTAGCTAATGATGTTGACCTATCAATATCAGTAGCCTAGTACCCAAATGTCACCACCCCCTTCACTCATATCAAGGGTTCCTCTGGATTCCATGTGGTTGGGTGAGCTACAAACAAGACCTCTATAGTTTAAATGAAGACCTCCCTGGCCAATTTATATTCTGGTCAGGCTCCAAACTCTCAGAAATTGATTAAGTCATAGTATCTCACAGTCTGTCTTCCAGCATTAACCATTTGAAATACTACCGAGAACAGAGAATGACAACATATTTCTTTAGTTATTTTATGTAGGTATGCCCCTGCCAAATTCTCCCCGAACTTCCCTCCTTAGTTGCTGCTAGTGCTGGGAAGTCGATGCTTAAATGGATTAGGTACTCAAGTTAGGAAGTTATCAACAGGGCTTTAAAAAACGCAAGAGTCTAAGGGAAGTTGTCTGTCTGTATGCCTTCTCATATAGTTGCACAATGCACTAAGAAAGTTCCATGGCAAAAATATTTCTGGGCACTGAGGATTTTCTCTCTCTTGGTATTCAGAAGCCACTGAGTTGGAGGTACTGACTTTGTAAAGTTACACTTCAATTCTACCTTTTAATATCTTTTACAATAGACAAATATTGCTTTGTTTTTCTATTGGATGCTGAACTGTAGTAAGTTTTCAAATATAAGGCACCATAATGCAAAAATATAATAGAAAGCATTTTGATTAAACTCATGGGCTGGCCTGCTTTTTGGCTCACTGTAGTAATATTTTGTCACGCATACTGCATGATGACATTAGCTGAATATAACTCTATAATTTCCAAGAGACCTCAGTGATTGCATTCACAGTGATGTGAAAGGCAAATAACTGCTCATAATGAAGTTATATTCTGCATACAGAAAAGTGTAAAGAAACTCTTGACTGATGCACTTCATATAAAGATTGTAGTGAACTTTCAAACTTTCTCACCTTCAAACTTGCCCTCATTTTCAGACTAAGAGGATGAATCTTTAGCAGAACAATTTATTGCCCTATCTACATAGAAATCTGAGATTATCAAAAGTGTTAAGGGCTGTTTAATAGTCCTGACAACTCTTCCAGAAAATATAGAATGATCTGGGTGCATATATGGAGTGAGCAACCACTGGGTTCAGGACTTAATGCATCCTTTGTGCCTTTATGGTTAATCATCCCTTCCTGTTTCCGTTGCTGAAATTAAGATAGGAAGCACATATAAATCAAATTATAAGGCCCTAAATTAGGCACAACAAGCATAGAAAAGAGACATCCAAAACTTAGTCTAGAAAATCCCAGACCCACTTAATTTCATGATATAACTGTCAAATCTTACTGTTCCAATAAAAATAGACCTTGCCCTTCCCCAATTTTTCTAAGTATCCTCCTCCAATTGACAATAGATTGCCTAACTTTGGTTTTGGTTGTCACAGACACACCATTTGTATCCATATGGATGGCGAGGTGATGGGGAGGAGGAATTCAGCCAGCGGAAGTGACAGAAACTACTCAGAGTCAATTTTTCTGCCCTTCTCTTTATCAGGGGCATCTGTCATTCTTGATTTTGCCTGCCATTCCTTGCTTCCTTAGAGTTTCAAGTACTCATTTAACATAACCCTTCTAATTTTAAAAACACAGAAATAAGGACTGAGCAATCGATATAAGGACCTATTATAACTACACTATAATCTCCATCTCACCTTTCTTTATTCTGAAGTTGAAAAGAAGGCAGAAGGTGGTTTGGTAACTGAAAGACAAACATATCCCACATTTCTTAGTCATGTAGTATTGAACCATAAGCTTTGCTCTGTAACAAGAAAAGATTAGGGTTTTTTAAAATCACTGCTTAGTTCTGTGGTGATTTTCTGAATTTTTATTTCTGTTCTGCAAGAGTTAACAGGATATACTCTTGTCTTACTTGAACCATTTATTAAGCAATTTCACCCCAAATTTCCAGATTTGAAATATTGGCAGCAAAACGCTGTTTCAATAGAAGATAATACTGGGTATCCACATGAGATAAATATTAATAGCCAAGCAAACTTTATATAAAAATTATTGCATGGATGTAATTAATTTTTTGAAATGATCCCATTGTTTCCCTACTTAAATGACCAGGTGTTCAGCATCAGGAATGAGACATCAGATTTGAAATATGTGCTTTGGACTTTAAATCTGCTAATCATATGCATAACAGGAAGAGAACACAGTGCTTATATAAAGAAATTAAAATGTATGTCAATACGCAGTATATTATCACAGCTTACTTTTACTTACTAATAGTGCATCATTTAGGGATGTGTGTAGGGCTGCCTCTTCATAAAGGTGCCAAAATAGCTTTTGATCACAAAGCAGCTGTGCTTTTTTGAAACATCTTTTCTGAAATCAAGGTACCCATAGGAATTGAATGGTCTGTGATACATGGACTGTTGATTGATAGCTGCATCTTATGTGGACAAAACAGAATGAAGAATTTTATGAATTCATATTTTTAAATATTTTTAAAAGCACCAAAAAAGGTTATGCTCAGTGCCTTCAACATCCTACGACATAATCAAAATGTTAACTAAAAGCAAAGTTTGGTGAGGGGAGTCGAATAGCTGGCCATCTTGAAGTCCTGTTATCATATGTTAACATAGACTTGAAGGAGACATGTGTTCATGTCATAAATTAAAACATCAAGTTAAAATCCAAACTATAACTCCAAATCTAAGCGCTCCCATTACTGTCTGCTTTTTCTATTATATTTTAATTAGCAATTGAGTACAATGATTTTAATTTTAACACATCAATAGAATTTCATAATATTTTTTATTGAAATGCACACAAATTCATCTGTTTTCATTCTAAAAGCATAATGCTTATTCTAATGTACACACTACAAGTTGTAAAAGTATTAAGATATCATATATACATTTCTTGAAAAAAATATCAATCTGTACTTAAAAATAAATAATAGCTATTGGGAATTAAAAATGTGCAGCATTTTCAATTATCTAATTCCGCATTCTAAATAAAATAATTCTGTACATGCTCTTACCTAATTCAAAAGATGTATTTGAAAGTGGGTACACTACAAAATAGTAACCTTTATATTTCATTCTTGCTTAATTTTTTAAAATAATACCATTCCTTATATTCCAGGAGGTATTGAAGCAATTGCAAGGAAGTATTGAAGATGAAGCAATGGCTTCATCTGGTCAGATTGATTTGCTGGAACGTCTTAAAGGTAAATGGAAGAAGGCTACACCAGTTAGCAAAGCAAATATTTTCCATGAATTCTTTCTGCCAGGGTGAACATTGTGAGCCAGAGATATATTTCCCCCCCCCCCAAAAAAAAAGTTTCTCAAATTATCACTCAAATATGAAAACACTGCCAATTTCACTTTCATACTTACAAAGTTTATGTGTTTAGACATAGTAATATTTAATACTGAATAGATTCCCATTCTTGCA